CAATTGGCACAGGACAGAGCGGAGTTTAGGGCTGTTGTACATAGGGTCGCTATGCGTCGCAGGCGACTCGACGGCAAATAACAACAACAACAACAACAACAACATGTTAAAAATATTTTAGTGTAAAAAGAATATTTTAGTGTCTTTGGAAATGTTAATGTCTTTTTTGCATAGGATGGCACACTACTAAAATAAACATTTAACTGCTATTAGATATGAACTATATATACACCTAACTATAAATTTTAACTTAAAGATAGACTTTCTAATCCACCAAATGCTCTACTGGAGAAGGAGGGGCAATCCCCTCCTGTACTAGTCAGATATGGTGTGATGGTACACACACATAAAAAATAATAAAATGAAATTTTAAAAAAATGATGGAAAAAAGATAGATTTAATACTAATCTTGGGACTCCCTATATTGACAAAATAGATAGGGAAAGTAAGAAAAAAATATAACTTGTTAGATTATGATAAGTGCAATAGAGAAAGGAAGCATGAAAAAGCAGTTAGGAAACATCAGGAGTGGGCATGAGGGTGCATTTTAAATGGGAATGAGAGTAAAGCCTTATCAAGTATGTGGTAATCTGAAAATAGTAAGGAACTAAACATGGTTATGAAGGTCAATGTAATGGGTTGGTTGATGCAGAAGGAGCAGCTAGCATGAAGACCCTTAGGGAAGAGCATGCCTGATGCATTCAAGACATAACATAAAGGAAAACAACTATGCGATACCATCTCACCCCAGTAAGAATAGCAAAATTCAACAGAGCAGCAAATAACAGATGCTGGTGAGGTTATGGAGAAACTGGAACCTTTAGTCACTGTTGGTGGGAGTATAAAATGGAGCAATTACTTTGGAAGGCAATATGGAACTTTCTCAAAAAGTTGAAAATAGAAATACCATTTGACCCAGCAGTTCCACTACTGGAAATATAAAGAAACCAGAACTGCCCCCTAAGCAGATACATGCACATCCATGTTTATTGCTGCTTTGTTCACAAAAGCAAAGAGTTAGAAACCACCCATGTGCCCATCAACAAACGAATGGATATTAAAGGTGTGGTATATTCACACAATGGAATACTACACTGCATTGAAAAACAAGGAACTCATGAAATACACAAAATGAATGACCCTGGAGGACATTATGCTGAGTGAAATAGTCACAAAAGGACAAATACTGTATAATTCCACTGTTATAGAACAGGACTGATATGGGGGTTTGGGGAAATTAAGAGAAGAGGGAATAAATAATGTACATGGCATTGAAACAGATGAAGGAGAGAACTGTTGAAAAAGAATATATGATTAGGTATTATTTGCATGACAAGGGTCCAGAATAAGAGCTGCATAGTAAAATAGACTGAAAGAATTTTTTTTTTCTTTTCAAAGAGAAAAGCGA